TTACTATCAAATAATAAAATATTTTAATTATTTTGTTAATTTCTTATTGTTATATAAATAATATCAAATTAGAGTAATGTAATAATAATATAGTATATATAATGTTAGATCTTATACTATTTATATTTTGTATAATAATAAAAATTTAATAATAATATAAATTAAAAATTGGGTGTAAATTTTGTATGTAAATACATATACAATAATTAGAATTAAAACTTATTAAATTAACATTGCTATATACAGTATTTTATTACTTATTTAGTTTTTTTATTTAATTTTAAGTTAATTAATATAAATTTTTGGTAGCTATTACTAGAGTCCCCAAAAATTTTTAGTAGAGCCACAATCGGGTCTGGGTTGACATACATTGCTGAATACCATACCAGTGCTAGTCATCAATAATATTAATATTGTTATCTTAATAGAGACCAGTAGTGGACGCATAACATATGTAACGGTAATGTCTTTATTTGTCGCCATTTAGTGTTAAATTTATTATCAAAATTTAAATAATTAAAAACAATAAAACTTTGCTTACAAATTGTTAGTTTACTTTTGCAAATATTAATATATATATTATTTAAAGTTTTATAAATTTAATTAATGTACATATAATTTATTCCAGTAAATATTCAGATATAATTTTTTTATAAATTTAATAAATATAATTTATTATAAACCATATGGTATTTTTATATGCGCATATAAAATTTTAATTAAAATGAATATTATGTACTTTATACCAATTTTATACAGTATATAATTTATATAAATTATATTTAGTATATACTATCATAAATATAATTTTATATAGCGTGTATACTATATTATATATTATTTTATATATTATTACAAATTGTATTATACAATATATGTGTACCGTATATTAAGTTATATTGTAATTTATCTAAAGTAAAACTATTTTAAAATAAAATAAAAATAAAATAAATATTGATATAAAATAAGTATTGATAAATATAATTATATTATTGTCAATATATGTCAATTGCTATTTATAATTATAGTTTACTTTTTTTAAATTAAACTAATTAGTCAATTAAAATGCATAAAATTAGAAACTAATAATTTTAAATTAATTATTTAAAATTATTTATAATTCAAATAATTATCAAAAAAATAAATAAAATAAAATCATTTAAATATCCAATGATTGACATATAAATCATAGACTATTTGGTGATCAAATTAGTGTCAATCAGACCCACATATGATTCATATATTCACAGACTATATAATAGTCACGACATTTACATTACGGGTATTATTAGGAATCGGATATTTGGTTCGTCACGTAATATACGATGAAATAGCAATCGTATGACTATTTGATGACTAATCGGACGATACATTCAATTGCAAGTCATTGGAGGAGAAGTCATACGATTCATACAAACGTTGAGTCAGTCAGTCGTCGATGCGTTTGTCCGACAAAGTGATGACCGATAGTACAAACGCTCGGAAGTCGACCGACAATATTATGGACGAGTGTTGTGTCGGAACTGCTAAGCTTAACATCAATGGTCATACAGACCGAGATAGTGGCCAAAGAATAGATAGAGCGGTACTGAAGGTAACGGGTTTGAGACGAAGTGTGTCCACTGTTAGAGTGCGTCAGTTTTTCGTCAACTACGCACCCGTACGCTATGTTGGCCGCCGTCCCGATGGTCACTATTTGGTACGATTTTCCAATGAACGCGACGCCGACAATGTGTTGACCAAAATTGATGGCTCGACTCAGGTCGCAGATAACGGATCGGCCGTTCATTGTCTAACACTTAGCGGACAAGAGGTGAGCGCACAGGTGTTGACCGGCGAGGAGGAGGACTCGTTCTGGACAACCACTGCCCAGTGCTCAAAGAGAAAGGCTTATAGACTACAGCGTCGTCGCGGCCGACGTAAAAAAGTCGGTAATTGTGTGACCAAAAAGCGAACGGACAGTCAACTGGAGACCGGAACTACTGTTCCAATGAAACGGTTGGCCCAACAAATCGCTTAACAGATTTTTACGGATTTTAAACTCACAGATGGATATCAATATAATATATATATATATTGTTATCTATTTTCGGTAATTTATAAATGAATTTACGGACCTTTGGCTTTGATTTTTTTGTTGGATTTGATTACAACTTTTTTTTTAATTATATGTTTGATATGACATTTATATTTAAAAAAATGTTATCTTTATTATTATTTTTTCTTATATTAAATATTTTCACAATTGACACACAAAAAAAAATCTTATCAGTAATTTTGATAATTTGTCAATTAAAATATATGTTTGCTTATATTATATAAATGCTATAGTGATTTTATTTGTTTTGAACACTATCTTTCAAAATATTATTATTAATACTTTTTTCCAATACTTAATGTATGCATATTTTATGTGGATTTCTATAAATATTTTGTTTGTTTGATTAGACTTAAAATTTAATTAATTTGTGTTTTCTATATTGTTTTCTTTCAACGATATCAACGATATGTAATTTTCAAAATATTCATAATTATGATAATTGTTTGTATTTTTTCATAACTATTTTCTAATATATTCAAATTTATAAATAATAAAAAAGTTTTGTTTAACAGCATAAACATATTGTAACTTTATTTTTATTTAAAAAAATAAAAATACTCATATTATAAATATCTAATAATTTCTAATCTAATATAACTTAAATTTAATAAACTAATTTATCTATATTTACCTGTTAGAGTTATATTATAGATTATAGTAACAATATTGTTAGCCAAAAAATTCAATTGATTTAAGATATAATAAGATAATGAATCCAATAATCTAAAAAAAATAATTATTATTTATCAGTAATACTGTTTTACAATTATGACAAATACTTCATATCCTCTAAATCTGGTTACAATAAACAGTTTCCAACAGTGAAATCCAATGCGCTTTTTGGCGATCCTCTCCATAATTGATGTCAACTAATGTTGTTTTTTAGATAAATTTAATTTAATATTACTTTTGATATACAGGTAACTGTTATACACACAAAACTGATACCTTAAGTTTAGTTGAAACGCTATAGTTGACTATCATTAGTGAATTAATCAATTTATATGACACCATAGCCTCCTTATATATGGAGGCAGATATCTGAATGATGAACAACATTGTGATTGTGAAGACAATAAAGAAAAATGCAAAAAACACTTTGATAACAATGTTGACTTCAGGCATCAAAATCAAATACATGGACAGTGTTATGATAAGACTCAACAACACCCAAATGAGTCCCAAAAACAATGACCAATAGATCTTATTGTATTCACTGATTTCAAAGTATATTTTATTAAACTCACGGATCATAGTATGAACCTCTCGGACATTACCGGGATTTTTATGCATCAATAATGACCGAAGATTGCTATTAAAGTAACTGAGTTTAGCCTTCAAGTAATAGATGATCATAAAGTAGTATATGAATTGCCATATAATGCCGGCCAACGCGTACTGAGCCGAGAGAGCCCATATGGTCGTATGGACGGCCACTATGGTGACCAACTCTAGTAAAGTACATTTGATAATATAATTGGCGAAAACAAAGAAAAAGGCCATATATTTATTCAACGGAACCATATATAGAGTGAAGTGAAGTAGTTTACGGCTCGTAATCACAATCTTATAGATAGTCTTTCTGTCTCTCAAACCAATTGATTTGGGTGTCAACAGACCGGACATCATCTCAAAGACACGCATATCGTTTGGTTTGACTTTCTTAATAGAGTTTGACAGACGCACAGACTGTGACAGTGCCACCAATAGATGAACAACAAGTGATAGTAAGTTAAGCGGTACTTTGATACCACTGAAGAAGGCAAAGTCGCCGCCATATAAGCGAAACTCATGAGATTCGTCTGTCGTCAGAATATAGAAGATATTTCTAAGAATCGATTTACAGATATAAACAAATATGAGAAGAGGATTGTGATAAAACTTTCTCTTCACTGCAGACTTGGGTTTGTCCAGTGATAGACCCGCTCTGTAGAGATGAGTGTCCGCACCGACAATAACCAACCGTTTGGGTAATAATTTGTTTGAATAAATTGATTGAATTAGTTGTTTAACATTTTCTGGCTTTTTGACAATCTTCTTGGTCTTCATTTTTTAAAATATATATATTTATATTTAAAAAATTTACCGTAATTTTTAAATCAATGATATTGTTTGAGATAGAGTTTGTTAAATATAAATATAAATACAATAACAAAAAATAAGTTATCTTAAAAACATTATATAAGATTATATAATTCAATGTTAGCTATTTTGATAATAAAACATTATAAATGTATAAAATATTCAAATTAATTATTTGCTACAAACATGTTAATTCACAAATAAATCAATTTTTATATTATATGATATTATTTTATTTTATATCATCTCATTATAACATTGAATTTAATTATAAACCATTAATTACATAGATCATAATCAATGTAATTTTTATTTTATTATATTATATAAATATGTTGAAACTAATGAAAATATTAACATTAATAATTATTTTATGATATTGTTTGTCATTTTTAAAAATGTCAAATACATATACAGCATTGTATTAATATTTACATCAATAATTAGTCAAAATTATTAATTTCAAATATTGTCGAAATTACTTGACATTTATTTCATATTTGCCTGATATTAAACGATTAATATTTTGTCTAGGTAATTAATTTAAAGTAAATTACATTAACTTACATTAAATATTGTGTACAGTAATTTAGGTAATTATTTTTAATTTATTGAAATATAACAAAATAAATTTGTTTTTATATTATAAGTATTATTTTCTTTATTGATTTTAGAAATTATATGCTATTTACTGGATTATGTAAATTATTACATAAAATATATAGGTTTAAATAAATTGATACTTATTGTAAATAGTTTTTATTTATAATCAAAAATACATTATCAAAAAATTTCATATAATTTTTTTAATGTTTAATTAAAAGTTTGGTAAACCAAACAACTGTGGCTCAAACTCTTCTAATGAGTTCAATGTTAGAGTAGGTTTGACCAGATTTTTGTCGATATCGACTGCCGGCACCCAAACCACTTGACAACCGGCCGCCAAACCCGATGTTACTCCGGTCGGTGAGTCCTCGAACACCAAAACGTTTTGCATGGATTGCGGTTTAGCGGTAAATCTGTTGGCGCATACCTCGTAGGGCTGTGGGTCAGGCTTTCCACGAGTGATCTCCGGGTCATCGGAACAGATGACAATGTGATGAAACAATTTGAATATGTGTTGCAAATGTCGAGTTTTTCTATCAAATCGGTCTCTTTTAGTATTAGTGGCAATTGCTATGGGAATGTTATGTTTGTGTAAGTGAAGTACTAGTCTCTCAGCTCCGGGCATTAGTGGTACGTTATCGAAGATAGTCTTGAATTCTTCTTTCAGTTGATCCATATATTCATTGGGAGTAATCGGTAGCTCTAGTTCTGTGCACACGATGTCTGCCTCCGCTTCGTCGGTCACTCCCAGCAATCGCACTGAAAAAATAATGGACACATACTGTATAATAATATTTATATAATTTTTTTTTAATTAATACAAAGTGATGGGTAGTATACCTTTTAGCTCATTTAGATAGGGTTTGTCATAACGGGCCAAAACATTTCGTATTGCAATCTCATATCGAGTTTCAGTGTCTTAAATGAAATGTAGATATTTTTTTTTTAAATAATAATTTCAACATTACATTCATATAATTAAAAGTTATAATTTTTTCAATTGAAATTAATTAATATTAATATATTAATAACTTTATTAACTAATGTATTACCCAATAACAGTCCGTCCATATCAAACACCACATGAGACACAGTTTTAAATTGTTTGGCAGTCATTATTATGAATTAACTTATTATTTGAAGGTTTAATTAAAATAATAAAATATTTGTTTGCTATTTAACAATTTTAATATATAGATATTTTTTAAAAAATTATTTATAAATTAAATTTTTTTTATATGTGATGCATAACATAATCATACAGTGCTTATACCGTATAATATCTCATGTGATAATGTGTTTTCACACAACTGTGTGATATAAATGGCTAAAAAAATTTAGGGATTTATATATGACTATAAATTTTTTAATGATAATCAACGTTAAAATACACATATGTTTTATAATGTTATATGATATGTTATATTTGCATTACATTAAATGTTGATTAGTTAACACACACACAATTGAAGATATAATATGATATTTAATTTATTTTATCATAGATAGCAAAAAGTTCTTTAAATTTAATAAACAGTGAAATATAAATTTGTCTTAAAATATCTTTAAAGTAAATATTTTTTATAACACATGTATTATGAGATGATATTTTATTTACAAATCATTTACAATGTATTACATAATATTAATACATATCATACTATAAATATATCAGAAATTCTGTGATTCACAGTAACAGTTATTATCATATAATACATGTATTAATATTGCAATAAAAATATATAAATGTATAAATTATAAATTAATAGCGCGTGAATTAAATATGAAATTTACAATTTCAATATGAATTCAATATAAAAATTTATATAAAATTGATTAATGTTATAGAAAAATGTATAATCTGTAGATAATCTGGTATTTAAAATCATTTTTTGATTAATGGGTACTCTATGTTGTTGTGTTAGTGATATTGAAGTGACGGACAGTCCCAACAGTCCCAACACTCCAAACAAATACAATACAAACACTAATAAACATACATTTAATGTCTATAAAACACAGAATAATAATAAAGAAAATACGAGTCAACCGTTGAACGAACAAAACAATAATCAACCGCCGATTAAGACTGAGGAGGAATGTCGTCAAAAAACAAACAGTTCTCAAGACTATCAACCGGTGGATAAAAAGAAAGTGTTGGACGCAACTGAACAACGACTGGCCAAACAAACCCAATCTCTAACCGCACGGGAACTTCGTCTCAGACAAAACAGACAGCATTTAGACAAAGAGGAACCTCTGAATCGCAAACAACAAACAGCTCTTCGATGGCAAATGGGGTCTTAGGATGAATACGATTGACTAGTATTTCATTTATTTATTTATTTTTTGTTGAAATTCAAGTCTTGAAATAAATGATTGAAAAAAACCATAAAACTTGACAACACATTGTTTTTATTGTTTCTTCAGTAAAATTTACAACTTTTTTTTGTCTGTAAAATATTTTTATCATTAAAGCGTTTCTATCATTAAAATTAATTTATATCTCATAATTTCATTTTTATAACTTTTTTTGTATATAAATCTTTCTAATATATTATACATATATATATTTATAATTTAAAGTATCAATAATTTTATAATAATTTATATTTAGAAAATTAAATCATTTATAAAAGCAAATATATTTTTTATCATTTTGTTATTGAAGCCGAACATAGATTTTTAGAGAAAATATTTTAAGAAAATCAATAAAAAGAAAACATTTTTTTAATTAAATTATATATTCATCACAAAAACATTTTTTTGTTTTATATCAATATTTTCAGAAAAAAACAAGAGATATATTAATCATTAAAATTCAGTCATATAATAATTCATAAATTTTTACATATACTGTATTTTCATAAATAATATATTAATCATACAAAACACTATAATATAATAACATATTATTTCAATGATCCACAAAACTTTTTAAAAATATATTTATAATAATAATAATTTCATAAATTATTTCTTAAATCAAATGAAAGTCACAAATGCCTTAAACATTATATATATATATTTTTTTATAAAAATCAATATTGATTATAAAAATAATTATAAACAATAATTATATTATTGTTAAGGCATTAATGTTTGATCAAATCATATACAAATCTACACTGATTTGAATTCAAAACTTGAAATATTTCTATAGAAAACATTATTTCTTTAAAAAAAACAAAATAATAGTAAATTTATAAATTTTATAACATTATAATAATATTAAATCATTTGCACATAAATTAGTTATAAATAATATATAATAATAAAACATTTAACGAATAGCTTTGTTTATAATGTATAATAAAACTATTCAAATGTAGTGTATATATGTCTCAACTATCGGGCGATGTTATTGAGTGTCTGGCGGTATGTTTTTGGCGGTAATTGAGGACAGGGCCCGATAGGTACAGAAAAAACGCTTGCGGCATTTGGTGGAGGAGGTGGAGGTGATATAGGTACGGGTCCGGGAGGTCCGTGTTGGCCACTTTGCGAAAACCTTCGCAATAGTGATGGCGGTTCTATTGGTGGCAAATCCATAGCTGAGTTGCGTCGTGTAATTTCTGAGTTAAAACGCTGTATGTTGTGATTGACCGTCGAAATGGTGGAATGACTGTTGTAATTGCGCGGAAGCGTCGACGAGAAAGTAGAGCAACGGGGCGGAAGTGGCGGCGGTACTGAATCCTCAAATGTGTTGCCCATTGGCACTATTGTTGGCGCAAAACGACTTCGAGGTGAGGATAAGTCGGACGAGTAAGACATGGAGTTAGTTCTTTGGCTGCGATTAGTGCGCGGAGGCAATGGTGGAGGTGTTGAAGGATTTGGTGGTAATGATGGAATTGAAGACCACGGACCGGGAGTAGGAGGCGTGGAATGAATTGGCGTTGTTGGTGATGGACCGCCATATGTGGAACCACCGCCAATAAATACGGGCGCAAATACGGAATGATCACTACCGGCACCGCAACTATTTGCCGAATAGGGCGGTGTTTGCGGTGTTGATGGACTGTGGGTTTGACTTTCATCAGCAATTGACTCTTCATTTTGTGAACTCGACAGTGAATTAAGTAATGAGTCCAATGATTGAAGAGCTGGTAAGTGATGATTACGATTACCCCGAGGTTTAATACCCGGTGACTTAAGTGATAGCTCAGGCCATTGCCGGGGCTGTCAAACACAACACAAACATTTGTTTTAATAAATACTATAATTTCTTACACATAATACTCACATATTTGTTGATTTGTCGGGTATGTCGGGGTTCAATCTCAAGTGATTTGTTATAGAGATAATCGATAAGCTCTTTTTCGTCCTGTTCATCAAATGGATCCAATGACTCTAAAAATTGCTGTCATTGGCAAAGATATAACCACTATATAGTTACTATATTTTAATTAAACAATTATAAAATTATTTTATACCCTTATTTCGGAAACAATTGTTAAACAATACGGTTGATTTTGGTACTGTTGTATTTCACCGGTTATTTCGGCCACTTTCCTACGTTTACTAAAATTTATTAACATATTGTTTGGATTCGGAGAGTTAGGTGTGTTGGCCACCGATCCAGTGGGTGAACAACTGCTAACACCACTGCTGATGGATCCGCTGCCAACTAGATTGGCATTTGACGGTAAAGTGGAGGTCGAGTTAGTACTGTTGCTCGAACTTAACGACATTAGAGACGTGTTTGTTGTCTGAGCGCTAACTGTCGATGATATTGATGTAAGAGTTGACTGAGAGTCGTAGTGATTGAGCGATGGCTGTGGTGTCACCAGAAAGTTTGGATTTCCTTCTTCGATGTGCAATATATTTGTCAAATACATGCCAAAGAATGGTACACACGGAGGGTTTATTGACCGCAATTTCTCGTGATATCTATAAAACAACACATAATATAATAGTTATTAAAGTTAATTATAATTTATTAACTAGTAATGTATTTAATTAAAAAGTTTAAATTAATTTTAAATAATATTTTTTAAATGATAAGTACAGTAATAAAAAATTAAATAATAAACAGTTTTATCAAATAAGTAGTAATGATTAAAAATGACATACTTTTTGAAGTGTTCAACAGTCAGTTCCTGTGCGTCATCCAAAGCTCTCTTTAGTTTAGAGTTCTTGTCGATGTAACTCATGGTGTGCTCCAATCGATGAACACAAGCGCTTCCCATAGCACTGATCACTTCGAAAACACCGTTAAAGTTATTCAACTCCTGTAGGACTATCATTATCTCAATAATACGGGACAGTATGGCTACTCTTTCTTCAAAGTTGACCGCTTCTACAATACACTTTTCCAACCAAAATGTAAACTATAATTACAATAATAAAATTTAAAGAAATAAAATATAATTTAATAAGTGTTGAACAGTAAATGCATACATTGGATGTGTGGTGAATCATTTTGAGCAAATTTGGTGATGTCTTTTGCTTATCTTTTTTAGTCCACACCACTGACTGGCCCTCAGTTCCAACTAATTCGGAGGGTTTGACTGCTTTGTAGAGATCAAACTCAAGTAAAGTCAGCTGTCGGGCCAACTCTATTGGGTGAAGCTATAAATGAATGAAAATTATTTATTTTATTAGTATTATTATCATTCATTTGTTACATTAATTATAATTTTTTAAAAAGACATACAGTAAGCAAATCAAACTTTTGCGGGTCTCGGGTCAGCCACCACTCGACATTTGGCGGAGTCTTTTCAAAACTGTATTCTGGAATCTGCGGCTCATTTGTGAGCTCTGACTTGCGCTCCAATACTTTTTTAATATTTTCACACCATTTCCTCATATTTTTCTTGAATCTCACTTTTTCGTCCAAAAACTTTTTCAATGTTTCCAACAAATTGGGATCTCTTTCGAAATCATAATGATGGTTATCAATCCAATGTCTTAAAACATTAAGCACTCGAAATTGGACCGGTTGTGAGTACTCTTTTCGGAAACGTTTCAGTATCTCCCGGTGCTGATTACGAATCTCGGAGTTCTCATAGATGTGCTGGGAATGGGAGCTATCATTGTTGAAACAATGAGTACTATTATTTGTAGTTAATTGTGTGTCATTATTATTGTTAATATTATTAACAATTTCGTTAGTGTTTGTAGTTGTTGTGGCGATAGTATTGTTTTGTTGTTGTTGTTGTTGTGCAGTGTTATTAATCTGTGTTAAAATAAACTCTGGCTCTGGTATCTCAAAGCGCTCAATCAGTAGGTCTAACAATGTCTGAGGCGTACAGAAAGAGCGATATGTAGTGAGAAATGTGCGGACAAACATCGGGTCGGCGTACATGTGATACGTAAGTCTTTCTACTAGTTTTAATAGTGTTGCACCTTTGATAAGAGGAACACCAGAATTTGATTTATTTTCTTCAAATAAAATATTAGTGTCCGAGTCCTCCACAGCGAACCGGTAGACATCAGGTGAGGGCAGACGTAGCGGATGTTTCTTTGCCTCATCGATAAGCATTGAGTCCAATGTCCTCTCGAGCATTGACCGGGTGTTCAATAATATAAGGTTTGACATCCAGAGTGCCTTCTCTTCGGCGGTTTTTGCGAATAATATAATTCTTTGTTGATTTCTGAGTAAATTATAAAAAATAAATATTAATTAAATAAATAAAATAAATATGAAATGTTTTCCAAAATCAACCTGGGTGCTATCTCAAAAGCATATTTCGGTATATTATGAGTACCGGTTCCGCCGCCACCGCTTCCATTGTTATTATATAAATTAGTTCCATTAATCTCACTGTCGTTATTATACTCTTCTCTGTCAATAATTTCAATGTTTCTAATTAAGTATTTCTCTTTTAGCCGCCAATCGCACTGTGGATTCCCCGTTACGGCTGTCATCGACGACCTCTTATTGTTGGGTTTACATAACACCATTAGACCGTCAAATAAAAAGACATGACGTTCGGTAATACGAGGAGATCGGGACGTCATACCAGACAATTTGCCTAACGGTCCGTCAATCACAAACTCGTTGCAGAACTGCCCGATGTCTTTTCCTTCCCAGCCATCTATAGAGCGCTGTAATTCCGACATTTTGGTCAGCGCTGCCGCTCTATTAGTTCGACCGTATAGACGCAAAAAGCCTTCACCTGGTTTGGCATTTCGTTTGCAGACAATGCGCTCTAAGTCTACTTTTAGAGGACCCATCAGACCCTCCGCCTGTTCGAAGGACTCCTTGTCTTCATCACTAGTGGTCAAGTCTTTAAAGAGATCGATGTATTTAAAGTATGAAAAACAGTGATAAACTGGTCCAATAAGTAGTTTCGGAAGAACATATTTAAGCGCCAAAATCATGCCGTGACCTGTAGTGGCCAGCGTCTGGACAATGTTTGGATCGGCTAATAAAGTCTGCAATTTATCGTTTCGTGTTGTGGCACCGGTAGCACCATTATTGGCAACTGGATTAGTTTGAAACTGTGGACTGGATTGGATGACATCGTGTGCGTATCGTTCGTAAACGTCAAACTCGGCGCATTCGGCCAACTCCTCAAAACAGCTGCCAATACTTGGCGGACAACTATCTTCAGCCACTTCGAGTGCGTCCTCAATGGAGCCTAAAAAGTTGACACTGAAGTCATAGATGTCATCGATATTGTAGAACAGTTTCTCCAATTCTTTTGGCGGCAATATTTTGCGGAAAGGGTCGCGAAATACTTTCATTATTAAATTCAAGTCTCTCTGAAATTGCTTCTCTTCATGAATGAGATCTTTGACCACTTCATCGTAGGTAACACTGGTTCGGCGCTTCTGTTCGCTCAGGTCTTCATTGATGTTGCTGTTAAGCGACACGTCGTCGTCCGGATAAAACATATCCATCAGTACTTTATCGGCACACATAGCAACCTAACCGTTCAACAAAAAAATTAATTTAAGAAATTACAAATAATTAAAGTTAGCCAAATATACACATAAATTATCAAACAAATCAACCACTCATGTAATAATCAAATAATTAATTAATTTTGTCAACAATTATCTTATATTATAAACAAAATACCCGGTAATAAATTTTTATTATTTTCAATTACTATTAAGTGTCTTATTTACTAGGTTAATTTTTGAACAAATTTATAAATATTTTTTAATTACTGGTAAAAATATAAATCAATATTGATGTCTACTAAAATAAATAAATCAAAATTAAAAATTTTCTTTTTTTTAAATAATTGTTTGAATAAGAAAAAAATTTAATACAGGATACATTTTTTTAATAAAATTTAATAATCATATAAAATATTAATATATAGGAAAAATCAATATATATCAGATATATATATATATATATATATATATATATAATATCTACTGTATTTTATAGTACTTTGCTAAGTGCTCCCACATTAATATATAAACTAATATGACATTTAATATAAATATACAAAAAAATAATTCACTTATATCTTGATTTAATTAAAGATTGATAAATGCAAAATAGACTGAAAAAATATATAATAAATTCTACAATTGATAATACAATATAATAATAAAAAACCACTTTTGAATATAATTTAATTCATTTGAAATTTTCGTATATATAATTTAATTTAAATCTATTCTCGACTAAATAATACTTTATCTACATTAATATAAATAGATTCTTAACTAAATGTTTTTGACAATAATAATACATAACTAATATATATATATATATATATATAAAACTAAATGTTATTTAAGTGCTAATATCAATCAATAAGTTTTAAATCAGATGAATATCATAGTAGTGTTACTATACCTTAATATCCTGACACGTAATCTCTTCGTGTCGTATATTTTTAACGTAATGACCGGCCAATTGAAAGATATCGGTAGCAATAAACTCAAGAATGGCCACTATATAAATAGTGCACTGAATGTCAATCTTGTGGCCAATCACTTCCCGTTGCAATAATTGGTGTAACTTTTCGAAAGGCATCCGCAGTGGCAACTGGTCTGCCGTTAAGCTCTTCTGTTTCTTATATGACTTCATTTGTTGCATTACTTCGTTGGCCTTATTTGTGGCCCACTTGTCCAGTGGCGGTGGAAAGAGCCGGCGAACTCGTTCCTCGATATCGGTAATATTGTTACGATGACTGTGAATCAATTGGGACAATAATTTCAGTATCAATGACTCGGCGTAGAGTAGAGCGTCCTGTTTAGCCTTCAGACCCGACGTGGGATGTGTCCGGCTTTGGATCTGATCCAGTGATATAAGCAATAATTTGCGCCATTTCTTGTAGTTCTCATCTGACTCGAAGTTGTAAAGGTCAGGCTCTCCGCTAACGGAATACATGGCGTATGAAAATCAGTGGTCACCCGATTCGGCCATTCAATCACCAAATTATTGAGATCATACGGTCCGATAACAACAAACTAACCAATCATATGATTGATTGTCAAATAATTTTTTGATTTTTTTTTTAATAATATATATTAATTATTATTTAATGGATTTGTGTCTTTCAATCAATTTGTCAGTTAGTGTTTTGTTTGCTATTAATTAACTTCAATTCATTTACTATTTCACTCTTCAATTTTGTCTTCAAATATGATATATAAAAGATATTAATTATAATTATCATATTATTAGTATATAATAATTATTAAAATAATGATAACGTGATAAATATGGCATTAAATATATATATAATTATAACAACAAAAATACAACGATTAACAAATGATTTATCGCACAAACATTTTTCTCACACATATTTATTGGTGTGATTTTCAAACAAAATATTATTATTATTAATAATAACACAAACTGTGATTAAATGACAGAAAATATATTAATATTATTAACATAAGTGACAAAACATTTATAATATGATATCATAAAAAATATATTATATATCATATGTATAACAGTAACACATACACAAACACATTGACAAAAAATAGGTAATCATATAATTACTAATTATTATTATTATTAAAACTAAATTTAGTAATTATAACAAATAATAATAACATAAAAATGGATACTGATTATTTTTTACAGATAAATTTGCAAATAATAAAAATATTAAATAAATAAATAATAATTTTACAAACACAACAACAACTAAATTAATAACAAACAAAAAAATTATTATTTTTAAATTACAAAATTATTACAGATTTAAAAAATTTTAAATTGTATTTTACATAAATATAATTAATTAATAATTATATATAACTCACTTGTGATTTACTTCAAACAATTGACAGTCTATTGTATTAATTAAAAGTCAATACAAATACAAAACACTGGTTTAGGAAAACATTTACAATATTATGATAAACATATAGTAATTAAATGTTTGGATTAATTTATGTATAATTTTTTTGTTTGTTTCATTGATTGCAGTTTTATCTATGGATTTGAGTGTAAATCAAATCAAATGAAAAATGTTTTTTAAATGACAACAACAACAACACAAAACTGATTGTCAATTGTTGTATGAAATCAATGGATAAATCAATTGATAAACAATTGGTTGCGTTAAACACCAGTTAAGACAATCAAACGGTTAAATCATTGGAAACAAAACATACAAATGAATGCCATTTAACTCAACAAAACTCATACACATATATATACTGTATATATATATATTAGTAATACATATATAATATACAGGAGTCTAACGCAAACTGTATCACTGTTTATATACATATAATATTGCTATATATAGTCCATAATAACAGTAATGGCGACTAATATTTAATTATTAAAATACAGTCTCTCTCTCACACATAGAGTCTCTGTCTGTCTATCCGTCTGTCTATCTGTCTGTTTCTCTCCCAGCCATTAGCCTTCACTTTATAAGTCACTCTCACACTCACTCACTCTCTCTCTCTCTCTCTCTCTCTCTCTCTGTCAATGTCTGTGTCTATCTCTCCCACACAGTCTGTCTATACAATACCAAAACCCTCTCCCAAATACTGAATCACTGACTCAATCGTCAATATATTTACACATTGATTGAATGACTCACTCACTCATTCATACACTCACACACTGTATATACAAAAAGTTAGTGTTATTTAACTTTTTCCACTTTATATATATATATATAAAGTTCTCGTTCTGAGTGTATGTAACAAATAAGGCATAACTTTGTGCCCCTAATAGTACTAAATGTATGGAAAACATGTGTAGCGATACAAATACTCTATATGTGTATAAATTTTTTTGTGGTAAACATTAGTTAACGCTATTATATAACGTAACACATGTATGACTATTATACCAACAAATCTAATAGAAATACAAGTGTTTTTTTATTGTGTAAAAAAGGGTCCAAAAATTATCGTATTTTTCTAATACATATATTTTGAACAAAAAAAATTATATACACATAATAAGAGAAATCCCTAAATATGTTGTTTTAGAGACAAATCCCCAGAACTTACATAACATTTATTTAGCACACAATCAGTGAAAAGTCAGACAACTATTATATTAGACACACATTAGATGTCAAACGCCTCTCACAAGTGGTAAACAAACAAACAAACAGTCGATTCATTGCAAACAACAACTGTTTGGTCACTGATTTATGACAAAAGACAACAACAATAACAACAAGAAGAATGCCATTACAGACGACACCGATCGCCAGTCCTACTGAAGAACAACAGGAGAAGATGTTAGACGAGTCGTTAGGTATCGTCAAAGTGCAGTCATTTCAGATGAAATGCTGTCTCGACAAAGGTTTGTGACCAACAAAACAAAAGTCATGACATTAACAAAGACACGATTATTAGTTGTCATATCCGAAGCCATTTAATATATAATATGATATATTAGATCCATTAGATCCAAATCAAAACAGTATATTTGTCAGAATATGCCGGTTATTATGTATATTACCGGTTGTTTTACTAATCAGATAAATAAATAGTGGCCACTGGTCACCACTACTGGCCGATATGTTAGGATATGGTATTTTGTGGACACTGATAATTATGTTCATAATATAAGGATTATTAAAATTGTTATTAAATTTTTATTAAATGTTATTAAAAATTTAATTTAAATGATATCAATCAACAACAGGTAAACTCATGGAAGCGCTAAAACATGCATCAAATATGCTGTCAGAGTTGCGGACATCTCTGTTATCGCCGAAATCATATTACGAACTCTATATGTCGGTCACTGACCAACTGAGACATCTCGAGATGTATTTGTTGGACGAGTTTCAGAGGGGCCGCAAAATGGCCGACTTGTATGAATTGGTGCAATACGCCGGTAATATCATTCCCCGACTGTATCTGTTAGTTACCGTTGGCTTAGTATACATGAAGACAACTCCCGGATGTCGTAAAGATATTCTCAAGGATTTGGTTGAGATGTGCAGAGGTTTGTTAAAATGGATAAATTTTTTAAAGACCGGTTACTTATCGGTAATTATTGTGTTCAAACAGGTGTTCAGCATCCACTTCGTGGTCTATTTTTGCGCAATTATTTACTACAATCGTGTCGTAACGTTTTGCCCGATGTTGTCGAAGATGTGGTGCTATCATCGGGTGACGTAAAAGAGGACAGACCCGGTTGTGTTCAGGACTCTATTGATTTTATTTTACTAAATTTCGCTGAAATGAACAAACTGTGGGTTCGTATGCAACATATGGGACACACCCGTGATAAGGATAGGCGTGAAAAAGAGAGACTTGAATTAAGATTATTGGTCGGCACTAATCTGGTAACTAAATTGTTATATTTTTATTATTATATATATATACTGTATATAATTTGTGATAATTGTTGTAATATATTTAAAGGTGAGATTGTCACAGTTAGAAGCGGTTGATTTAGAAATTTATAAAAAGATTGTTTTGCCCGGAATTCTTGAACAAGTGGTCTCTTGTAGAGACGCCATCGCACAGGAATATCTAATGGAGTGTCTGATTCAAGTATTTCCCGATGAGTTTCATTTGGCAACATTACAGCCGTTTCTCAATTCATGCGCTCAATTGACACAAAACGTAAACGTAAAAAACATAATCATTGCACTCATCGACAGACTTGCGATGAGTAAAGACATCGAACTTCCCAATGATTTGTTTGACATATTTGCTCAACAAATATCACAAATCATTCAAACGAGAAATGATATATCACTTGAAGATATTGTACTAATGAAAGGATCGTTAATCAACTTTTCTCTTAAAAAGATTTCCGACAGAGAGAAACGAGAAGAGAGTATTAATTGTGTATTAAATAATGCATTAAAAGTTATTAAAGATAAAAATCAAACGATAATACCGTTGAGAAGCAATTTGGGTAAAGAGTTATTCAAATTTTTTAAACTACCGTTTAATTATGGATCTAATAATGGTATCACCGGTTTATCACCGATTAAAATGAGTCTTAAATTAACGTCATATAAAGTGAGTCAGAATATTATTGATTTTATGATTTTTTAATTACGGTAATTAAAATTATTAATTTAATTAGGATTTGCTAAAAGAAACAGCAGCTCATGACTTGCACCGGGAGGTAACACTCAGTCTAATAAACAGCGCATTGGAAAACTTTACTGAGGATGAAGTTCTAGAGACAGACAGATTGACACTCGAAGAAATCGACATATTTTTGTCACAATTATGTGATCCATTAATTAATGGCAAAAGTGCGGGACTCGATGTCGATGAAACCGATGAAGACTTTATTGACGAACAGATCCTATTGTCTAGATTTTTGCATTTTTTGTTTTTGCCGCAATGCATGCAAGACAGCAATCAATTAGACAATTATTATCTGTTGTTGTCTTCGTCTCGTAAGACACTGTCTTCTGGTGGACCAAAACGAATCCGTTACACATATCCGTCGCTTGTTTTCGAAGCACTCAAATTAGCCATCAAATACTCTCAAGAAGCCGAAACAGATGAAGAAAAAGATCCCAAATGGGAAAAGAAATGCCAAAAAATCTATCAGTTTGTTAACCAAACAATTGGTTCGCTAATGAAAGATAGCAATTGTCCCGAACTTTGTTTAAAACTATATCTACTTTCGGGACAAAACGCATCCAAAACACGGGTTGAAAATAGAGAGACCATTGCATATGAATTCATAAGTCAAGCCTTTAGTATATATGAAGAAGAAATCAATGATTCCAAGTCTCAGTTGTTTTGTCTTTTGCTAATTACAAGTACTGTTAAGGATATAAAGTTTGAAATTGAAGACAATTGCAGTCCATTGAAGAGCCAATGTTGTCTAAATGGCGCTAAATTAGTGAAGAAATCGGACCAAATCAGAGCTATATTGGCAGCGAGTTTACTGTTTGTCAACTTTGAGACAAATACTATTGAATCAGATTTAATGAAATGCATAAAAAAATGTTATAAAATTGCATCCAATGTGTTGGACAATGAGCTTCAATTGCAATTGTTTGTTGAGATTTTGTCTCATTTGACACTTTTATTGCGGATCGAAGATAAAGACATTGAAGAATTATGTCGACAGTTGGTCGAGAAGATTGACGAACAGAGCAAAGAGACAGCACTTTCTGAACTCTTTCATCGACAGTACTGTAATAATCTATTGCTTCTTAAAAGTAAAAATATTATTTCATCTGATGGTTAGCAATAGATTGAACGAATTGATTGTTTTTATGAAATTATTAAATATTTTGGTGTTTTTTCGGATATAGTTTAATGAGTTTTTATTATTTTATTTTATATTTACACTTATTATGTAATTTAATAATTAATTAAAAAAATAAATTATTTATTTAAAGTATTATTACTTATCAATTAAGAATTATTGCTAATTTTTATGGATAATGTTTACCATTTATTATTAAGATTTTAAGTTTATCGATATTGAATATTAATTTACTAATCACTGATCGTTTGATATTATTTTTCGAAGTAATTATAATAGTGTTAAGCATTTTCATCGACGACAACAACATTAGTGATTTGCTATTTAAATGGACAGTTGGGCTGATAGAGTGATTTAAGGAATCAAAAATCCCGAATAGTGATGGTAGCTCAGACCCCCCTGAGTCTCCCCATACTACCCACATAGCTGTCCGACCTCCGCAATTCGAGATATTCGACTTTAAAGTCGAAAATTATTTTTGACGTTATTTATGAATATGATACACACTTTCTATGTATTTTTCAATACTAATTATGATTATAAAAACTAAATCACATTATGTCAAATAATTTTCGAGATTCGTCTTTTAAGTCAAAAAAAATATTTATGAATATGAGATTTATTATTTATGCAATTTCTAATACTAATTATAAATATTAAAATTCATTTTTAAAATTCATTAAAATTCATTGTCACATAGTTTTCGAGATATTCTACTTAATCAATTTCTTTTGAGGTTATTTATTATTAATATATATATATCAAACAGTTTTTCCGATCACTAATTATATTATTTTCTATTAACTGATTTATATAATAGTCAGGATCATTGTTATATAGTTTTTGAGATATTCGACTTTAAAGTCAAAATATATATTTGTGACAAAATAATTTAAGCATCTTAAATAATAATTAGAATTATTTTAATTTTAAATATTAAATTTAAAAAATACATTTGTATAAATTTATTATTTATTAAAAATTAAATATAATTTGATTATGACTAGAGCATTTATTTCACATATAACTTATATTTTTAGTGATTAAAGATATTAACAAAATAATTAGATATATAAACGATTGATTAAAAACCAATAATTATAGCAAAAGTTTTAGTCACATAAACACATATTTTGAAAGGTAGTCACATATTATCAAATACTATCACATATTATGACATATTTCGCATATAACTGTAAAATAATAGTTGAATTGCATTTTTTTATGTATTTTTGTATGTATTATTTGTTCAATTTTTTAAAAATAGTATTATTTTATCAATGAAACTTTATTTGTTAATTTTTCTAAACAAATCAAAAAAATAATGAAATGTTTTATGTTATTTTCTAGTGTTTACTAAAAGACAATAGGAGTGAAAATGTTATTTAGATTAATTTAAATTTATACAAACATTTTAAAAGGTAAATATTTTTAATTTATGCGTTTTTTAAGTTTAAATAATAAAAATATAAAATATTACTTTATCATAAATTGTAACACAAAATTACTTTTATTAATTAATATATAATTTTTAATAATTTTATTAATCTATATAATCACATATTTTGACTTTTCAAAGCAATTATAAGCACATTTTTTACTATTTTAAGCAAATATAACCACATATTTTCATATTTTTAAGCAAATATTTCATTGAATAAAAACAGAATTTTAGCCACATATATCTAAAGTTACTAATTATGACTTAAAAATTAGTTTTAATATAATAAAAATAAGAATTATATTCTAAGTATTTTTAAATGTAATAAATAATATTTTATATAATAAAATAAATGTATTAAAATTAAGTTTATAAATTATTTATAATGTAATTAATAAAATTTTTAATAATTAGATTAAGTTTAAAAAAGTTAGTAGACAAAAACATTGGTCTAACAATTTTTGGTGGATCATATATACCACTTGCTGTGGTTTTTAATCGAAAAGCACTTCGATTGCCATTTAGACATCATGCGGAATTTTTATTTTTTCGACTTTAAAGTCCAATATCTCGAAAAATATTTGACATAATGTGATTTAGTTTTTTATAATCATAATTAGTATTGAAAAATACATCGATAGTATGTCATATTCATAAATAACGTCAAAAATAATTTTCGACTTTAAAGTCGAATATCTCGAATTGCGGAGGTCGGACAGCTATGTGGGTGGTATGGGTAGACTCAGGGGGGTCTGAGCTACCATCACTATTCGGGATTTTTGATTCCTTAAAGAGCTCTACCAACCGGACAGTTGATAGCAATAAATATTCAAGTCTAGGAAAATTGCAATTAATATCAACGAAAAAGTTGTCACTAATTGTTAAACCGTTTTGAATATCAACGGTTAAGTGTGTTAATTGTTTCAATTTATTTAACGATACGGTCGACAATTGATAGTCTTTGTGAAACAAACCAGAAATCGACAATCTTTTCAAATGATTGAAACATTTGTTTAGTGTTTCAACAAAATCGGTGCAAACATTCAACGATATTGTTGTGTCTGTATTTGATATATAAATTGATAGTCTCTTGATTTTTTCACAGTTATCGCCGATTTGTTTCAATTGATTGTTGCTTAACATATGAGATAAGCAAACAATGTTCAGATCTATCAATTGAGACATTTGTGACAAACAATTGGCCAGTTTGTTGACACCGTTGACATCACACGAACAATCAATTTTGACTTTAATTGTTTTCATACAATTACGGTATGTTTCGGCAAACAAGTCCATTGAAATGTCAAATCTATTGCAATATTTATTATTGTAATCAAATTCAACTTTAATTAATTTATTGAACAGTGGACTCGTTTTTGGTTCATTTGTCGATAAATTATATTTGGTTTCAAATATGACATCAAATAAATCCAATTTATTTAGACCACAACTGACACCAAATACCACTTCATTTAGGTTTTCACATAATTTTAAATGATTTCTGAATGACTGACAAACATCGCTGTCTTCGTCGGCAATTTCTAACCGAAAACATTTCAATTGTTTGGCAAACTTTATGAAAAACTTTTCAACTGTTTCTTCTCTCAGATTATAGTCGAGAAAATCAATGTAAATGTGAGTCAAACGATGGCAATCATTGGTAATAGTTTTCAACAATCGGTTGTCTGCTTCACAATCGCTTAAATCCAAAAACTGAATGTTTGGACACTTTTGCAATATTTGTTTAATTTGTTTCTCTAATATGTAATCACTTGAAACCAAACTTTGCATAACTTTTGACTTCATTGTGATTTTTCTTAGTGAAGTCAGTATCACTCGTTGCCATTGATGGCTAACACATTCATAACGAAACTTACTTTTAAATGTCAGAAAATCGACAATTTCTTGACACAAGTCATCACCGAAACGATCAAAGCTGGTTTGAAGAGCGTAAACCGGTATTGATAAATCCCGTATAGTGATGATAGCCCAGACCTTCCTGAGTCACCCCATACCACTTACATTCAAATCCTATTACCGCAATTTAAGATATTCGACTTTAAAGTCGAATATCTCGAATACTAAATGACTTATTGATATTTTGTTTTCATATATGTTATTAATATTTAAAAATACATTGAAATCATGTATTATATGTATAAATAGCGTCAATTAAAAAATTTCGACTTTCGAATTTTAAAGTCGAATATCTTAAATTGCGGTAATAGGATTTGAATGTAAGTGGTATGGGGTGACTCAGGAAGGTCTGGGCTATCATCACTATACGGGATTTATCAATACCGGTTTACGCTCTTCAAACCATCAAAGCTATCCTTTTGATAAATTTGTGTCATTTTTTCGGATCAATTAAATATAAACTTAGTATTAACTATAATTTGTATTAAGTAATAAATTCAATCAATATTATTACATAATCACACTATCAGTAATTAAAATTGTTGACATTAATTATCTTTACTTATGTTAAATAGCAGTTATATTAAGTTAATATCATAGCATATTATTATACTAAAAGTATGTTTTTGTATTATTAATTGAAAATAATGTAATTTATCAAATATGATAAAAAAATAATGTGTAATATAAAAATTACAATTAGTATATTTCAGTGTAACTATGACTATAATATGATTAAAATATTATTAATATAAGCACAAAATCATTTACAAACAAACAAAAAATTAATACATTTTATTATACGATTGCTTTTATACTATTTATATTTATTATATGATGAAACAATCGTATAATAAATTATTGATTTTTTGTTTGTTTGTAAATGATTTTGTGCTTATATTTATATTTGGCTCTTAATTTAAAAATTGTTATTAAAATAATGTATAGTACATATTAAGTTAATTATGATATTATATTATAAAAAATTATTGTTGTTATAAAATTGTATAAAAGTATTGAATCAATTTATTTTAAAATTCATTCAAACAAGTCATCTCAAGTTTTTGGGAATTTTTTTATTTTCAATGATCTAAATAAACATAGACTGTCCTAAATTGATTATCTTATAAGTAATCTAAATTAATTTATAAATTTATATACTAATTTTTCACTTTAGTTTTTATATGAATTTATATCTTCACAATAAATTTGATAGAAAAGTTAGTATAAAAAATTTCAAAACTGTTACACAAAATTATAATTTTTTTAAACAAGTCTATCATTTCTAGAAGTTAGCAATTTTTGTATTTTGTATAATCAGTTTATATATATATAAATTTTTATTATTTCAAATTAATTTAAGATTTTGTTAATATTTCAAGTATTATGGAGTTTAAAATAATTTATATAATTACATTACTAATTATTTTCAGTACATATTATTGTTCAAAAGGTTGTATTAAATATTTTTCAATATATAATTAATTAGTAATAAAATGTAAAAACTATTTTTTTATTGATATTAATGCATAGCTAATAATGTATCAAAAGTGAAGTGTCGTTGCGGTCCGCGGCCGTGGACTCGGGAACCACAAAGCGATGAACTGAGTCGAGACTGTTGTGTCGGATTCATACATAGCGGTGACGGTATGTTTGACAATGGATTCTGTATTATCAACAATAAAACAATTTATTTGCCGTTTCGCGAGTGTTGTCTTAAACTATTTTATAGTTCATATTGTGTTCTCAAATAACTTTTATATTATTTTTTATTATTACATATTTAATTACATTGTATAAAAAAATCAATAAACAACTAAATAATAATATCTATAATATGTAATGTAATTTTAGCTAAAACTATTGTATTTCTTTAACCTGCAAACTATACCTCTACTTTACTCTACTTTACTATACTTTACATTATGTAAATTATATATGAGTTATATTATATACAATAAATATTAATTAAAATATTCAAAATGTATTTGAATTAAAATAATTTTATATTAATACATATTTTTCTGTAATTTGAGACAAATAATATTAAATTTAATAAATTTAACTAAAAATTGTAAAAACAAGTTATGTCTAAATGTTTAAATAATATTTGTGTAATGAAATAATCTGATTACAATTGGTTATCAATTTCAATGATAATTTTATTACTGGCAAATAAATGTTTATTTTCTACAAAAAACAGACCCTGATGGTGTTTATAAAAACATGTAATTATCAAATTAACATTTATATACGTCAACACAGGAACTCTGGTTAAATAAATCCTTTTATATTTAAAAAAATATCATATTATTTGAATATCTTATATGATATAATAACAACTGAACAAAGAGATGACATCAATACGTTTTTATAGATATAAAAAAATCAATTTCATTAACATTTTGTAATCAAATTAATTACAAAAAAATGTAGTAATTAATTTGGTAATATTGTTAATTATTTTAAAATTAGTTATCAGTTGTTTTTTAACAACAATAAAAAATTTGTTAAAACACTGATATTTAAACACATTATTTGATTGTAAACTGGTTGTGATTTTATGTAATTATTAAAATAGTCATTATTGCTAATAACAAACATTTATAACAATGAAATGGTTAAATATTTTGTCGATTTTATATTTTGTGATATCTTTGACAATCATTGTCATCAATGGAGAAGAAGGGGGTTTACAAAGATATGATGAACAAGAAGTGGTTCCTATAAGAAGTGCTCGCGTTAAGAGAAAGGGTGGAGGAAGAGGTGGTGGCGGTCGATCATCAGGTGGTAGCCGATCGTCCAGTTCCTCCAGAAGCAGTAGTAGTCGATCATCTAATCCGCATTCATATCCCAAACAACAATACACTAATGCTGGACATCAGTCTAACTCTTATCCCAAACAGTCTCCAAATAATCCCAGTTATTCGGCATCGGGACAATCAGCTCACTCATCCTATCCTAAACAACCGGCTTATAATCCTAATCATAGCGGTTCCGGTACTGGCAGTCAAACTGTAGGTCAATCATATCCCAAACAACCGGCTTATAATCCAAATCATAGCGGTTCCGGTACTGGCAGTCAAACTGTAGGTCAATCATATCCCAAACAACCGGCTTATAATCCAAATTATAGTGGTTCCGGTACTGGAACTCAAACTGGTGCTCAGGCATATCCCAAACAGCCAGCATATAATCCTAACTATAGTGGTACTGGTAGTCAAAACAGTGGAACTGGTTATCCAGCTAATCCCAAACAACCGCCAAAATTAGATGGTTATAATAGTGGTACAAATGTACACAATAGTCAGTCGAGTGCTCCTTCGTCATATCCCAAACAACCTGCAATCAATACTGGTTATGTAGTGCCTGTACATACCGGTGCTCATCCCATCTCGAGCTCAAAATTCAATGCTACGAGAGGTGGTGTGGCTGGTAGTCATAATAATCAAAACTTTAAAAACAATTTTACCAGCTCAAACCATCATACAGCAGTAGGTCATACCAATGGGACAGGACATTTTGGGTCAGGACATAACTTTCCTAATAGAACCGGTTCTGTTATGCAAAATCATGGTTATCCTAATCATACCGCTAACCAACCGATGCGCTACAATATTAGCAATTATGCACACAATGGTCCCAATGTCTACAGCAATTCCCACCCAATTGCCAATCCTCCTGTTTATGTTAATTCAGCACAAAATAATATACGTCAGTATAAATATTATTGCAATTATTATATTTTTTTAATTAAATTAATTATGTTTTTAATTAACTATATTTTTGTCCTATAGATATTCAAAACAATTATGGTCAACATGGATACTCTGTGAACAATGGCATAGGAGGTACAGGGATGAGCAATGCAGCCAAAATCGGTATATTTCTAAAATTATTTTATTAGATATTTTTATAATAATTATTAGTATATTTGAAAATAATTTTTGTTGTTCAAATTACAGGAACTGGAGCCATATTAGGTGCTGCAGTGGGAGCTTATGGTGGCTATAAATTAGGTCGAATGGTAGGTGCCCATGGTCAACATGGTAATTATGGCTACTATAATGAACATTATGTATATGTCAAATGTGATCCGCCACCTAAAATCCTGGTCGACCCAACCACTAACATCACTTATATACCGAAATCGGTTGCTTACGATGCTCGTTGTCATTATTATGATAAGGAACCACCTAAACTACTTCCGGGATATGAAAATAAGACAACAATTGTCGTCCAGCTTGACCAGGCTAAAGCAATACCATTACCACAGGGAGGTACCGGTAAAAATGGTGAACCCAAATATGGTAAAATTAGTTATTTGATGCTTACAATTTTAGTGATTGTTAAATATTTAATAATATTTTGATAGGTTGTCAAATATTTCCATAATATTTATTATTTAAATATTTCTATAAATAAAATATAATAATTTCAATTAATAATAAACAAGTTTTCAAAATAGACTCTAGTTGGATTAATTTAATTAAATAATATAATATAATTGTTATTATACTGTAATAAACAATTATTTGTTAAAAAATAATTTCAATTATTAAATAGTAATAATTATCTATTGATAATATTATTGTTTATGTATACATATTCTGGTAATATTATATATTTATCTATTGATAATTTATGTGAAATTTTTAAATTAAAGTTTTTACAATTTAGTTTATTTGGATAAATAACATAATCTATTAATTTATGATTGTGTGTGTTATGTTATAATATGTAATTTATATATAGAATGTACATAAATATGATATACATTTAGACTAAACATTAAATATTTGTGTGTTTTTACTAAACATGTAATTAATAATAATATTAAATAAAATATGAAAAATTTAGTAAATAAATAAGTAATTGTATATTCAGATGAATAGTGTGACAATCGTTTCAATAATTAGTTTATTATTTATGATATTTACAATTCATTTTTTGGTAAACTTTGACAAAAATTTTATGAATAATAAACAGTGACATAGATTACGATCAGTTAATGTATGATGAAATGATAATACATTATACAAGTAATAGATTTAAACGAAAAGGTGGAACAGGAGGTATAGGAGGAGATGGAGATGATAGAGTTGGTGGAGGATCAGGTAGAGGACGTTGTATTGTTATTGGCAGTAAGTTTTAATTTTTGAAGATAATAGTATTAAAAAATATAATTATGACTACACATAATGTGATATTAAATTTAAATACTAATAACCATTAATTTTTCTATCTATCTATTTAAAGATACTTCATGTAGTGATCCAACATTTAAGCCGTTTTATGGCTTAACAAAATGTTTGGGGACTATATTTTAATACCAGTGCCAATGCTAGGTACACGTTAATTTGATTTTAGTAATCAATTTATTTTAATTATGTCTATTATTATCATTATAGTTGTATTGTTGTATCAACATATGTCAAAATTATTGTTATAGACAATATATTTAACACCAATTGTTTAATCTTAATGATTATTATTAATACATTTGCTATAATTATAACATTGGCATTTATAATTTTATTTTATTAAATCAAATAATAGTAAAAAAGATATTATTTTTAAATATGTATTGTTTGTCGTATTAATAATAAAATCAATAACAGTTATTCCTTATTTAATCACTTTAATTAAATATCTAATATAATCAATCATACTCTAAATATTGTAATATTGTTTTATTATATAACCTTATTTATATTTTTATATAAAATGTAATTTAGTATTACTAATAAATCAATATAAAGTTTAAATAAAAACTTTTTACAATTGTATAATTGAATTAAAAAATTAACATTTATATTGATTTTAATTTTTTTAATATAAAAGATTTAATTTATTTTGTTTATGCGTTAGAATATATTGTTTGTAATGTTATAATTTTGAACATATACTTTATATATTGTAGTATTTTTATTAAATAAATATTTAATTAATCTTTTAAACTATAACATTTCTTATTGAATCATATACTGTATATATAGATTTACTTTTTATGTAATTTTATGTATGGTTAATAAAACAGAAAATGAATTAAATGTGACAAAATAAAACCTAGTGTTAAATTATATTAACTTATTATATTATTTTATCTAAATATAGTAAAAATGTAAATAAATTGATCTAAAGTAATCAAAACAAAAAAAACAAAAAAAAAAAAAAAAAAAAACAAAATAAAACAAAATTTAATTAAACAAATTTAAAGTATAAAATAATAATAAGTGTATGGAATAATAAATTAGAAACAATATATAATTTCAATATAAATAAATGCAATTAGTAATCATTGATAAATTTAATTTTAATTGTAGTAATATTAATGAATAAAAATAATATACAATAAGTGATAAATGTAAGTATAAAAAATATAATATATTGTTAAATATTAAACACCATAAATTATATAGCTATACTCTAGTATAGGTATAGCATAGGTAAATATAGTAGTAATAGGTATAATAAAATTCATATATTAATATCATTTTATTAAGATATTTTTTACTCCAACATTTTTACTCCAATTCAATCCTATATTTTTGGATAATAACATAATTAGCACAAAAGCTATTTTTAGATCTATTAATCTAAACAATATGATTGTGTGGGCGATGTTATTGTAGAGTATATTAAATATAATTTATATTTAGTTTATTATATATATAAACATATTGCAGACTACACACGAAATATTTGGTAAATAAATGAAGTTTTGTAAACTGAGATGAAAAGTGTTACTATTTTTTCAACCATTAGTTTATTAATTATATTAATTATATTTACAGTTTATTGTTTCGACAATTATGATCCCTATGTGTCCGACAATAGTGTTACGGATATTATTCAGATAAATCAGTCCAATGATGAATCAATAAGATATAGAAGTAATAGAGTTAAACGAAAGGGTGGTAAAGGAGGCGGTGGAGGTGGAGGTGGCAAAGGTGGTGGAAAGAGTGGTATTAAAGGTGCTAAAAGTGGTAAAGGTTGGCGACGTGGAGGCCATGGGGGTGGTGGTAGTGGTGGAGGTACTTCTCGATGTAATCATAATTTTCCAGATAATAATAGTAAGTATTTATTTATTTATTGACAAAAAATATTTTATTGATTAAATTTGTATGATTAAATACGACAATTGATGTAATTTTTTTTAATAATTATAATTTGATATATGATAGCTAGTAATTGTGATGAATTTGATCAGTGTCAATGGCTAACCAAAGTCATTTACTTATATATATTTCTACCGGTGCCCATAATTGGCACTCATTTTGGCGATTTTGATCAATGGGTTCTGATTTTGGCAGTAATTATCACCAGCGGTGTGATTGTGTCGACGTATTTAATACTGATTTTTATCAATATAATCAACAATTTGTTAAACACAATTCAATGGATTCAGATAGTATTGGGTAATACAGTTGGCAATACATTAGTATTGGGATTTACTTATTTTTCTATTAAAATAATTACTAATAAAAAAATGCTCACAATTTTTTATATTGGATTTGGTTTATTAATGATATATTTGATAAGTTTCAGTTGTTATCTATAGAGTATAGTATGTAAATAATAAAATTGTTTTTATATAACTTTTGTAAATTTGTTATATAGAGACAGATATATTTGATAACATGAAAATAATTTACTGTATAATATTATAGTATCCTATACTACAATATAATACATTTAATTATAGTTAAAAAAAATACAAATTATTATTATTATGTTTAAAGTAAATATTTTTGTATTTAAAGTAATTTTAGACTATTATAGTATATTTGTAGTTATATTTAGATAATTGATTAACCAGTAATTTTTTTTAAAAAACTACATAACTTACAGAATATGCGTATAGAGATAATAGTACTGTTATATAAAAAAATATTACATAAACATAAACACAATACACTACACATTCAATACAATGACATTTCAAATTAAATGTCAAAAAGGTTTGAATAGATTGATATATCAGTACATCTTATTTGATGATGAAATATATGACAATTATTGTAGTCATTTGTTTATCATTTTTATTTACCGTTTATTGTTTGAAAAACTATGACCAGTATTTACTGGATAACAATAGTGACATTGATTACGATCAGTTGATGTCTGATGAAGAGACTATGGATTATATAATTAGTAGAGTTAAGCGAAAGGGTGGTAAAGGAGGTGGTGGTGGTAGGGGTAGTGGTAAAGGTGGTGGTGGTAAGGGTGGCAAATATAAAGGTTGGCGAATTCATGGTAGTGGTGGTGGTGGCAGATTTGGGGGTATATTTTTAGGCAGAAGGTATCGTTACACAAGTTGTCATCAATTTGGCAATAATACTAATGACAGTATGTATTATAAAAACGATTGATTTTTTTTAATTAAATTGTCAATGAAATATACTAACGAAAAAAAATAATTTCTAATAAATTAATATTTAGCTAATTATTGTGATAAATTTGATCACTGTCAATGGCTAACCAAAGTGTATGTATGCTATATTATACTACCGGTGCCCATAATTGCCGTTCATTTTGATGATTTCGATCGGAGGGTTCTGTTTGTGGCAACGATTATCACAAGCTTTTTGATTGTGTCGACGTATGTCATACTCATTGTTATCAATTTAATCGACAATTTGTTGAATACAATTGAATGGAGTTATATGTTATTGGGTAATACTATTGGAAATATATTAGTAATATTTTTTGCATATATTGTTAGTAAACTAATTAATAGCAAAAAGAAAATTTTATTTATTTATTTTGTTTTTACAATATTAATATTGTATACTATATTTGATTATTGTATTGGTTATTCTATAGAATAGTTTAATTATATTTTAAAGTTTAATAATGATAATTACGATAACATTTTACTTAACCTTATATTAATGATATAAGAAAACTTAATTAATAATAATTTTTTAATTTATAGTAAAAATATTTTCGATTATACTGTAGATACTTAGTTAGATATTAGTCGATCAATAAAATTATTGATACAGATATCTGTTTGCTTAAGAACCTGAATTTTAGAGTGATTTCAATTGATATCAATTATAAATAAAATTTAATTTTTTATAAATTAGAAAATATTATATGTAAATAATAAATTGTAAATAATATTTGTAAATACTTTATAATATAATAGTTTGATAAATTATTGTGTACAATATAACGTTATAAAATAAAAAAAATATAATTTTATAAAATTATATATTTTAATTAGAATATCATTTCAATTTTTTTTATTGTAACAGTAATTATAATAACAAAAAAACACTGCAAATTATTTTAATGGCCTTAATTATTATTGTATATAAATAAATAAATATAAAAAATACTAGATTATATTTGTATTTTTCAATTTGGATAAACAGTGATTTTTTAGGCCTAAATAATCCAACAGAATATGCGTATATATGATAGAAAAATAAGTATTACATAAACATAAACAGATTGTACACTAAAAATGAAATGCAATGACATTTCTGATAAAATGTCAAAAAGGATTGAAGCGATTGATAAACATTATCTTAGTTGAAGATGAGGATCAAATGGTTGATAATTTTTCTGACCACATGTTTGTCATTTTTATTTACTGTTTATTGTATGAAAAACAATGACCAGTATTTACTGGATAACAACAACGACAACAACAATGACATAAATTATGGTCAGTTGATGTCTGTTGAAGAGACAATACATAGAGTTAAACGAAAGGGTGGAACAGGGGGTAGAGGTGGTGGTGGAACTGGTAGTGGTGGTAGACGTGGAGGTCGTATTTTTGTTGGTAGTAGTTCTGGAGGAAACGGTTATATAAATGATGATGAAGATTATGTCGATGATGGTAAATATATTTAAATATTATTAATGTTATCTAATATTTTAGTTTAACTTATTTTAATAATTATATTACTAATATTTTATATATATTTTTTATTTTCTAAAAAACAGATTTTTTTTGTACTGAATCAACGTTTGGTATCTGTTTGTCAGTCAATTCAATGATTGTTATATATATTTTACTACCGGTGCCAATGCTAGCTACACGTTGTGGTGATTTTAATCAATGGTTTTTAATATTGTCTGCTGTTATCACTATCGGTATTGTTGTCTTAACGTATGCCATAATAATTGTTGCCAATTCAGTCTACAATTTATTTTACAAAATGTGTTTTATTACACTACTAATGATCAATACTATTGCTATAATTATAACGATAGGATTTTTATTTTATATGCTTAAAACATATAATACTAAAAAAGAGATTATTTTTAAATATGTATTGTTTATAATAATAACAATATCAATAACAATAATTCCCTGTTTGATTCAATTTCTAACATAATCAAATATATTTGTAATCATATTGTTTTTATAAAGTTAAAATCTTATCTATTTTATATTAATCGTATATAAATTATTATATAGATTATATGAATATTTTATAAGTCTATATATATATAGTAAATATTTATGATAAAATAACATAAAGTTTAGTTAAATTTTTACTTTAAATTGAATTTAAAAACAAATTACTGATAATATTTACACTGCCTATGTTTTTATTATAAAAGACTTTTAATATATATATATAATTTATATATAAATATTGTTTGTAATGTTATATTTTTAATCGTATTCAGTATTTTTTTAATGTAAATAATTACTGAATCATTTAAAATTCTTATATATTATAATCATTTATTGTAATTTCTATTTATTGAATGATAAAATACATTCTGTATTCAATATTACTTTATGTAAACTATTGAAAGTTAAAAAAAATCATAAGTAAAATAAATCAATGTTAACAAATAAAGCCACATATATTTGCAATTATTGTTAGTGTTGTTTATCTAGATTGAAGCAGGGTTACTTAAAATATAAATGTCATTAAAATAGTTAGCACCAAATTTGATTATTTAGATTTTACATATTAATGATTATATTTATTTATAATAAATTTCGGTGATTAAAGTAAATTAAATACTATAAAAAAGATTATAAAGACAACCTACGCTAAAATTAAGCGATTGGTAGTTAGATATAACACCATATTCCAGGCACCTGTATCTTAATTTTTTAAAATTACTACATAAATCACAAATAAACTGAATATTCTTTTTGTCTGACTGTCTGCATCCCTGGCCTTACGTCATATCACCCGTGGAAACGAGTGGGTATTGATTTTATACATATAGCAAACATTTTAAACACTGAATTTTACTTATATAATACATAGAAAAATAGCTAACGGACCCAATAGTACAGTAGATAACATTGAGTTTTATTATACCAAATGAAAAACATGTGCACTCAGTCACAAAACAACATCCCTCAAGAATATTGCTATAATAATAAAAATAATAAAAATAGTTGACTCAAAACAACTATTGATAGCCAACAGCGCAATACACATCCCTCTCTCTCTCTCTCTCAAAGCTACTAACTATCTCTTTCAATGCATTGACTGTTTTTAGGTTGACTCCATTATTATACAGTATAATACAAAAGTGGATTATCCTATTATTTGTGGTATATATTAGTTGAGAAAAACCAACCAAAATAATGTTTACAAATAAATAATCAATTTAAATAAAAATTCAAACAAACTATTAGTTTTAAGTGAATAATTTAATTAAATAAAGTTTAACTAAATTTTTTTTAAGCAACACATCAAGTGTTTGTGTGAATATATATTGTGATTAAAATATACAAAAAATAATAATGAATTTACTGAACACTGTTGTCATCGTATACTTAGCGCTGACACTCACGGCTAGTGTTAGCTATTGTCTGGAAGAGTACGACCGGTATGTGCCCGACAACGACGGGTTAACACATGAGAGAAGTATTCGTGTCAAGAGAAAGGGTGGAAAAGGTGGTGGCGGTAGAGGTAGAGGCAGTTCCAGTCGCAAGTCGTCGACAAAGACCAGGCCAGCAGATCCCTATCCCAAACAACCGGCTCATAATCCTAACTACCCGACCAATGCTAATCCCAATGCACCAGCATATCCAGCCTATCCAAAACAACCGCCACCATATCCCGGCCAAACGGGCCAATCATTTCCCGGACAACATGGAAATCCCGGTCAGACTGGATGTATGTATTAATTATTTCTTTTATTATTATTATTATTATTATTTATTTATTTATTTTTATTATATAAAAGTGCAACGTTTAATTAGGTTAATGTTATTATAAGTGACATTTTATAGTTTAGGAAATTATTGTTTCAAAATTATATTTTTTCAATTTATTATTTATTAATAGAAAACAGGTTTAAATAATATTTGTTATATAATATTTGAATAATATATATGATAATAATAAATATAAATTAATATATTATATAATTATTGTTATATAAAAACTGTTTAAAATATAATTATATAGTTTTATTGATTTTGGAATTTATATTATAAATCAAATATTTTGCTAATTATTGCATAATATTTCAATATATATTATATTACTACTGATAAAAAATTTATAATAGTTTAATCTTATATAAGAAATATTATTGTATTATTGAATCATTTACTAAATGTTGTATTTGTTATATAAATATTGTAAACTAATCAATAATATTATATTATATCTTTGAACTTGAAATAACTATATTTGTAAATAATTTAATAGCATTTGTTATTAAATTATAGACACATATCTATAAATAGTAATAATAGCTTTACAACAATCATTATATAATTTGATGATTTGATATATTGTAGATTTATTGTACAGTTTATACAGTATATTGATATTATTATACAAAAAAGAAAATATTTATTTTTTTAAATTATTTTATTTTATATTAAATCATAAATAAAAAACTAATAAAAAAGAAAAAAAATAAAAAAAAAATATTTTATACTTATAAAAATATATATTACACAAACATTTAAATAATATATTTTAAAAATTTAATTTGTAAAGATAATCAACCAAATTATGGATATGGAAGCAAATTAGGCGGTGTGGGCGGAATGGGCACTGGTATGGGATCTGGTTTAGGAAATATGGGTAAATCAAAAAGTGGAATTGGAGCACTGGGAGCAGGAGGTATGTTATTTATATATGATGACACTTTAGATTTTAAAAAATGTTAATTAATAAATTTTAATTGACAATCAACAGCTCTGGGAGGCGCAGCCGGTGCCGCACTGGGAGCTTATGGAGGCTATAAATTGGGACGAATGGTCGGCGGCTTAGGATCAATGGGTCACTACGGCTATTATGATGACCGCTATAAATACGTGAAATGCGATCCGCCGCCAAAAATCGAGTTCGACCCGCAAACCAACATCACATATATTCCCAAAACAATTGAATACGACGCCCGGTGTCACTACTATGACCAACGACCGCCTCATGTATATCCTGGATATGAACGATGGGGTGTCAACGCTGCACCGGTATGTACACCCACCTGGAGTTTGGCAACAATTTTGGCTACTATTTTGGTATTTGGCTTTCGGTTTCAAAATCTGAACCGATTTCAGTGGGATTTTTGGTCACATTTGCTGTTAACATAAAATATATAATGTATTTTAGTTTTTCATTTTTTTCGTTGTTGTTTAAACAGTATAAATAATAATAATATTTTTATGTTAATATAATAGTCTATTATTATTATTAATGTTTGAAAAATATGACTGTATATTTACAGTTTTAACGATTGCGGTACTGTTATCGAGTTTAATACTATTTACGAGTTAAATATAATATAAGAACTTAAATAATTTAAATTTTTAAATATTGAGAATTTGTTATAATTTTGAAAGTATTTTATAATTAAGATATTAGAAAATAATTTATTATTGACTTCTATACCAATACAACAAATGTTTGAACGATCATTGTATTTAATATTCCAATAATTTTTATATTATAAGATCTTAAATAATAACAATTTATTATATAAAACTATCTGAACTAAATACTCATAGATTTGATTTAATGTAAATTTATTGTATAATTATGATGTTTATGATTTTTTTATAATCTTTAAATTGTTTTTTTTATTTGTAATATTATATAAGGTCCTGTAAATATTGTTTTTTTAAATTTAATTTTTTGATCAATTTACCCAAAAAATATCACTAATTTACAATACCATTTACACTACAGTAGAATATATGTTTGTTAAATATAGATTATAAGTATAAACAGTAAACTTAATATTTTCTAAAACAATAAACATAATGTACAGTACAGTAAAACAGTTATTTTATATAAATTGTTAAAAAAATAGAAAATAAATAGTTTACAAAATTAAAGTAATATTTATTTTAAAAATCGTATTTATAATGCTATACCTAACCAAATATAAGCCAACAAAAAATTGAATATTTTATACAGTATTATATAAATATTTGAAAACTTATATTTTGCCAAAACAGCAGTCCATATAAACATTGATCTAAATGACATGTATCTATACTTTATTTTCTTAATTAAATAATTTCTAACCCCTGTATATATCATAAATTAAATTAAATTATAATATCTGTATATTAAACTATTTTGTGTGAACACATAGTATACAATATACTAAAAAAGTATATTGAAAATCAATATTATAAAAACATTATAATACTTATAAATATATATACAACACATTTAATGCATACCGAGATAATTACATTGGCGTCATGTCATCCAAACATTATTATGTATATACACTGTATATCCCATAACAACGACCTATTTTAAGTCCACAATTTTTAGCCACAATTGGGCGACAATTACTTGTCATCACATTTATTAAATTTTCAAAGAATATTCTTTAAATTTTATTAATTATTTATTCAAAACATTTAAAATTTATATCTTTTTTCTTTTATTATTGTTACTTATTATATGTTTATAACTGTGTTAACTGTGTGACAAAATTTAATAAATGATTTTAATTGTTTAATAAAAAAATCTTTTATATGATTTTTATTTGAATAATATGTAATATTTCATAAAGTTATCAAGATTAATATAATTATTATGTATTTAATGTTTAATTTGTTGAAAACAATCACTGTATTGATTGTTTGCATTAATGCTAATATTAATGAATTAAATAATAATAGAGTAAATTCATTGTTTGCTTTAAATACAAGTACTATTAATAATAATATAAGAGCTAAAAGTGATTCATTAATTGAAAAGCAATTATTGAATTATAGTATAGTTGACCAAAACAACAATGGTTTAAAAAATAATAAAACAGGTATTTATCATTAATAATATTATTATTTAATACATAAAATCAATTAATAACAATTACAGTATTGTATATTTAAGCTATTTTTGTGTTATATTTTTTAGTATATAGAGTATATAAACTTTATATTGAAACATGATTGAAAATTTTCAGTGATAGCATAACATAGATTTATACAGTAATACCGTATGATATACAGAATATGTACAGAATATTTAAAATAATGAATAAATAACTAATTTAAATATTTTAATAATTGTATTAGAAAGATACAGTATATTAATACAAGTTTAAAATATATAGTAATTTTTGTTTTCAGTATAAAAAATAATTAATAATATCAATCTTTTATTAGTTATTTTTATAAACTTTTATATTACTTTGTAGACCCAACATATTGAACATTAATTATTAGTTTTCAATTATTGCAATTTTATTAGAGATTATAGTAAACAATTCAGTTCTGATCAATGGATCAAATGGTTCTACGTTTGAAAACAATGTAAACGAAACTCTTGTTATAAAATATTTAGTGAGAAACTCAACTGTTATCGGCACTGGTATTACCAAATGGAAGGCAAGCACTGGTAGTTATGGCAAATACACAAAAAGTGTTAACAGAAGAAGTACTGACAATAAGACCTTAAACAGCGACACTATATTTGGATATTTTGCAAGTGATGGCAAATTTAGACACTGTTACCAAACCAATGACAGAAAACATAAGTCAGTGGACAGGGAGACAGTGGCCAACAACACTGTTGACACTACATCCAAGTGTATATATTACAGTCGTTATGAGTTAAGCAAAGCGTATAACAGACAGATTGTTAGCAAAACGGGTTTTCAGGGAGTGTTTGGTTTTTACAAGAGAGGCGTCTTTCAAGAGTGCGAACCGCCAAAGGAACTGATCGACGACACCGTCCGAAACGATACTAAATATATACCGTTTGATATCAACTATAGTCATAAGTGTGTGTACATCGATGCAAATCTCCAGACAATTTATAAATATGATTATTGTTATAACTGTACGGCCAGACAAACATCCGGTGCTCTAATGATAAAGTTTGAAATATGGTTATTGATGTTTGCATTGATTGCTAACTATAAGTTTAATTCTTAAAATTATTTTAATTAACTAGTATTTGGTTTTATAAAAGTTATTTTGCTTTTTGAAATACTATTTCCGAAAAAATATAATATGAATATAACATTTATAATCACATTTATTTAAACTTATTTCTACATTTTTTAGATTTTCAATATTATTATATTTATTTATTTTATAATTACATTAGTGATGATAGTTTATGTTTCAAAGTTTATAATTTTTAAAAATGTTTTATTAGCTCGATTTCATTTTACTATATACTATAATAAGTTTATGTTAATCTTTAATATGAAATAAAAAAATGTATGAATTAATATATGAATAAATGTAATTGTTAAAAAAGACTCTATAAGAGAGAGAAAGAGAAAGAGAGAGAGAGAGAGAGAGAGAGAGAGAGAGAGAGAGAGAGAGAGTTTGAATAGTAAAATGAATTATTAATATATAATAATAATGTATTAAATATATAAATAAGCCTTCTTTATTGAATCAAAATTCGTATTGTTTATCTAATAAACAATAATAATATAGTTTTACAATGATTTATTAATTTAGTAATTATTCATTGTATGTTATTGTAGTGTTTAGTAATAATTAATATATATATATATTCACACACTGTTTTGGTATAATAATAGATAGAAATATTTTTATAATGCAAATATTTGCAAACAATTAAATATTAATTCTTAATAGTTTAGCATATTAAAAATTTATTAATGCTTAATAACTAATTTAGTAATTGTTAATATCATTTAAATATTTAGATATAAATTATTATAATTATTACATATGTGCATTAAATATACAATTTTGTATTTATAGATTAATAAGTTAGTAACTAAAATATTTAATATATTAACAAATTTTATTTCTGAAGTACAGTATATGTATTATAGATTTAATACTTGTAATGTATTTTATTATATATCTATATTATTAATTAATAATATAATTACCGATCATATTATACATAGAAAATAAATAATTTTATTTAAGATTTTTTAGTAAAAATAGATAAGTTAAAATTTTCTGTAATATATAGACATAGAGTGGTATCAACTGTACATATAATTCACTTTAACTAATTGTATAATATTGTAATTTGATTTTATTTAAATATATTACAATTTATGTTCATTGTATGTCTAAAAAATAAATGTTTTATAATAAATCTTAAACCATAATAATATTAATTATTTTATTTGCATTTAATTTATGCATTGCTTTTAGATAACATAAAATAATTTTTTTTATCAATATATTATATAAATATTTTATTGCAATTATTGATATTTAAACAAATATAGTAAATAATTCAAATATTTATAATTATATTTACTTATATAATAAAAATTATTTAGTATTTATTGTATAATTACATAAATTAATTTTACATATAGTATATTAAACTTGACTAAATTCATCCATAATTATAGGCAATTTGATAAATTGTTTATGATTTTTTAAAATTGTATAGTAATAATAATAATAATACTATTAAAAATACTATACAACTTTACAGTATAATAAAGAATTAATAAAAATGAATATTCATAAAATTTAATATATTATATGCCAATATAATTTATTTTGAACTAATTTAAAACATAAAAAATGATTAACATTTTATTTTTTGTAATTTTTATAAGCATATTTTTTTAAAAATTAATTGTTATAATCGTTGACAATTTGTTCGTTCAAATTATCCGTAGCCATAGATTTTTTAGATCCTTAAAATGATTTAGATTAAAAAAAATTTTTTAACAGCAATTAGAAAAACTAAAATATTAAAAATTATTTCAGTTATATGAACAATGATTACCGAAAAACTGTGAAACGGGTAGTTTAGCAATGGATAGATCGCCAAATTGTTGCGGATGTTGCTCTACCTTACCATCAGTTATATTGATTTGAGTGATGGTCTGATGATAGATGTACTTATATTGGTCATCGAAACTTAATTTGGTTATATCCGAGTGCTCACTATTATGGAGCCAGTGGTAGGCAAAACATCCAGCTAAAACATTAATAAAATAATATTAAAATAAAATTTCCATAAAATTATGTAACAAATAATAATATAAAAATAAAACTGACCCAGCCAAATTTTTCGCTGTTCATCGTAATAACACTCAAGTCCTTCCTCTACACTATTAGCAGCGGTCACAGCGTATACATTGATATTTGTGGGCAATTTATTGAGAAACATTGAACCTTGATCATATTTTTTTTAGTAAATTATAAAAGCACTTTAATAAATAATAATAATAATAATAAAATATAGTATTTTTATTAATTTATTTACCCGAAAAACATGCCTCCAAATAAAACACTAGTTTTGCGTACCGTTTGTTTTGATGCATATCTTTCAATGTGGTCACCAATTCTTCGCCGTATATATATTCCGGTAATAATATTATATCTTTGATTTTTATATAATAATAATAATCTTAATTACAATTTGAAAACATAATAAATAATATTTAATTTGTTACCTCCGACACCGTGAGACACATAAAAAACAAATATATGATCATTAGGTCCGCTGTTTATAACTTTTTTACCCCTTCGTGTTAGAGATGGATCGCCACGAAGTACACCGAGTAATGTCTACACAATATAACATTATTTGAATTGAACTTATAATTAAATATATAAAATTATAATAATAATACATTATATTATATTTTTAAAATTTATAACTTACGTATCCATTGACATCATCGCCGGTATAGTCTTTGGGTACGCCATGATATACATCCGTACCGTTTGGCGAATGAATGATTTGTCCCGGAGTTGGGTTATAGGAATTGTATGCAATGTCGTCGGTGTGAATCACTATAATATGATCATCGGGTATACCATTAGACCGGATAAATTGGTAGGCATGGTATACATTGGCCTAAATTCAAATAAATTTATAATAAATAATTGTAATTGAAATTAATTATCTATTAATTTTAGTTACTATTTGATTATGAAAATAATATTAAATAATATACGCAAAAAAAACATTACTTGAATACTATAACCCGCACCAAACCAACCACTACTACCGGCACACAATACAACCCAATTTGTGCCATTAAATGATGAATCACCTAATTGTTCATCAATTGGTTTAGCATCAATACTTAAATAATATACTATTAGTATACTATTAATTAATACTAATTTTATATTAAACATTATTTTTATTAGTTTAAACTTACTAAATAAGATACACACATAAAATTTAACCTATAATTAATCAATAATCAATATTAATAAATAAAGCAAAATAATATTATTGCAAACTAATTACCTTATATCTGGTTATTGTATTTATAAGCTAATAGTTTTGATTTTGAAAAAAATCAGATATAAATCACATAAAACACAAAACAGTAAAATAAGGTTAGTTTTCATAATCAGTATTTTTTAAATAGAGTTTAACAATTAGTATATATATTTTAAAAACCACTTAAAGATTAGTTATTTCTATTAAGTTAGCAATTTGTATGAATTAGTATTTATTCAAGTAAATACAATAAAATAATTTTATTGTATGATAACTTTAAAATAATTATAATTAATTTAATTTAAACTGGTTACTGTAGAGATAATAGTTTTTATTTTTTTAAAATTAGATAAAGTCAATGATGAGTCATATTATTAACACAAAACACTCAGATTAGTTTTTAGATATAGTATTTATAATAAACTTTAACTTTTATGTTTTCTAGAAAATATATTAAATAGTAATACAGTAGATATAATTAATTATTGTTGTTTAATTTAATTTAGTTATCTTTAAACTTAATACAAGTGCAGCATTAAAACCACTTAAAGATTAGTTATTTCTAATAAGTTAGCAATTTGTATGAATTAATATTTATTCGGATAATAATTGAAAATATAAATAAGTGCATGTAATAACAGTTTTGTTATAAAATTTCAACTCAAATAAAATATTATAAACTTAATTAAAAAAACAAAATGCACATCAAATGTAAGTACAGTATATATATATTTTAAATAAATAGATAAATATTTATAATTAATGTTTATTTTATATTAGTCCAAAACTTTATAATTATAACTATTTGGTGTCTAATTTTGGCCCAATTAATAAATGCAAGTAAATGTCCAAAACCTGAGTTACTAAAGCCGTGTACATGTGTTGAAATCAGTAGTAAGCCATATCTAGATTGTACGGCTGATCATAACCTTAACCTACCGGAGCTGTTTGCCAAACTGAGCCGTGAATTGCCGCGTGAGGAAAGATATTTTGAGAATATACACATCAGTGGCGATAAAATTGTTGAATTACCGGCCAATATGTTTGCGGACATCAAGTTTCATAGAGTAGAGCTCAAAGACTGTCAGAATTTAAGGTCTATTGATAGACATGTCTTCAATGGCACCGTTGATAGCATACGGAGCTTATCATTGATAAGATTACCACTAAATGAATCCAACGATAATACGGCTGTATTTGATATTATCAATTCATTGCATTCACTTCAAGAGTTATACTTTGAAAGTATAAATTTAAATACCGTTCCCAACAATGCTTTTTCCAAATTAGATAACTTATCGCTCATTAGTTTTCGTAGAGTGTCTACCAATAGTATTGGCAAAAATGTATTCAAACAGTTAAAGTCATTGCGTTTTCTCGAGTTTTACGAAGTAAACACTTTGAACATCAGTGACAATGCATTTAGTTTTGACGAAACAGATGTCAGACTCAGATTTATTATAATATTTTCCGCGTTTAACAACAGTGTTATAAGTGGACAGACATTTGATGGTATGCTAAGACCCGTTACACTGATATTTCTTCATAACGATAAGATTCAATATATAAGTAAAGATACATTTAATCGGTTTATACAACAAAACCCGAGCCATGAACTGATAGCACACATTGATTGCAATGATTGTCGCAATTATTGGCTTTTAATGATTTCCAAACAAAACAACGGTATTTACTGTACTAATGGCAGACAATTGAATGATAAAAGAAATTTTATTAATTGTTAAAAATGTTTAATAAAATTATCAAAAAAAATTAATGATTTTAAAAAATTTAAACACAATTAATACTGAATATTATATAATTGTTAGAGATAATAATAAATTATTTACAATAATGTAATAAATTTTAAATAAATAAAAAGTAATTTAACTGAATTTATTATTTTATAGTCAATTTTTTAGAATAATTTTTTATTCTGTAAATATGGCAACAATCCAATAAATATATTCATGTAATATATCCTAATAAGTTGTGAATTAAATAATTTAATTATTTTCTAATTAATGATTAATTAATCAATAATTAAAACTTTTTATGTAATTTAAATTTTTACACATAGATGAATATTTATAGACTGTATACTGACGTTAGAATTATATATTAAAATTAATTATTATTAAAAGTATTTATTTTATAGGTAATTGTGTAATAATAAGTTATGTTTATTACCAGCAATTTTGCTAAGTATTTGGAATTATGGACTGAAAATTTCAGTCTGAAATCAAAACTAGGAATTAATACTAACAATAAATTGCATACAAAATACTAGGAAATTATAACAATTAAATTTTGATTAAAGTAAATTGTGTTGACATTACAATAGATATATTTTATATAAAATACCAAATTTAATGCTCTTAAAAATTACTACAAATAATTAGAGTATTATGTTTATTAGTATAACTCATACAATATTTATAAGATTTTTATTGTGTTAAGATTTTCAATTCATTTGTTGTTGTGTCACAGGTTAGGGATCAGAYGATCCTTCAAACTGTGTCCACTTTGTTTTGCGTAGTACTAGAGGTATGTCTATTAAGACAAGGGATGTCTCAATAGACGGGTCGGTATAAAGCGTGGGTCGGTATTCAACAAACTTTATTAAACAAATTATATTAAAAACTGTTATATGATGTGAAAAATGACATTTTTATTATTTTTAAAAAAAATCCCAAGAATTTTATCTAATTTATCCATTTATATAATTGTTATGAAATGAAAAAATGCAAAAATACAGAAACAAATTATGATTTTTTATTATTTGTAGTCATTAAATAAATTAACTTAAAAATTTGTTATAACTCACATTATTATTTATACAGTACTATAATTTATCATATATATATATCGTATAGTTTGTTTAACACTCGATGTCGTATTTTGATACGTTTTTTGTAACGGTATTTGTGAATAGTATTTTACAAATATCATATTGTTTTCTGTTTGTAAACACAAGTAGACATATCAATCAAACATTTGTGATAACAATATGTCCACCGAAGCTGACCAGTCTCCCGAAGAAGAACATATTCGGCATTGTATTTTATACGAATTTGATCGAATGAAGAAATTGGGCCGAAGCGACAAAACGGATCAATGAAGTATATCCCGAATCAATTGGTGTTCGAAAAGTTCAGAGATGGTTTGATCGATTTAAATCGAATGACAGATCTCTTGTGGATAAGAGTCGAGGACACCCTACTATTGTCATCGATAATGAAGTTCTTTTGAAAGAAATAGAAGCGGATCCGAGGCAAACTCTTCACGATTTGTCACATAAGTATGGGGTTTGTCGAACTACAGTATATAACCATTTGATCGAAATTGGCAAAGTATATAAAATCGGAAAATGGGTACCACATGATTTGTCACCCGAACAAAGAGCCAATCGATAGAGACATGTCGACGTTTGCTGTTCTCAAAGACGTTCCATTTTTGGAACAAATAGTGACAATGGATGAGAAGTGGGTGTATTACGAAAACCCTGTCATAGGTGGTCAATGGGTCGATCCTGAAGAACCTGCGATACAGACGCCGAAAAGAAACCTCAATCCTAGGAAGGCAATGCTGTGTGTTTGGTGGGATTGGATTAGTATTATTCATTATGAAGTTCTCGAATATGGTCGGACGATAACATCTGAGCTCTATTGTCAACAATTGGACAGACTTAAAGAAGTATTGATGGTAAAACGTCCAAGATTAATTAATTGTAATAGGATTAGATATCAAAGAGACAACGCGTCGAGTCATACTTCAAGAATGACTCAAAATAAAATTTGGGTTGGAAGGTTGTACCTCACCCACCATACTCTCCAGACATCGCACCTTCAGATTATTATTTGTTCCGAAATTTACAGACGTTTCTTAATGGAAAAACATTCACTGGAATCGATGATATCAAAAAAACCATCGATGACATCAATCAAAGGACTACTTTAGGGGATTATGGCTTTGCCTGAAAAATGGCAGAAAGTCATTGCTAATGATGGACATTATATAGATAATTAAATTTTATTGTATAATGGTTAATTTTACATTTGAAATATTAGAAATAAAACGACACCAAGTAATGAACAACCCATATATATGTTTCTATAGTTTTGTATTCAAAAATAAATCCACATCAATAAAATTATAATTATCTTTTATACTATGTTTTTCAATGTTTATGTGTTTATGTTGATAGTCAATGCAGTGTTTTTTGATTGTCTTAAATCAATTTATCAATATTATAATTACTGTTAATTTTGGAAATATATAATTATGTATGACTAGCAACAAAATAACAATAAAAATTTATTTATTTTATTATACTTTTTAAATAACATAAATAGATTAAAATAAAAATAATTTTATTAATTTACTATATTTAATATAAATATATTTTTAAAACATTATTTTATTTACAATTAATTTTTTATGTAAAATGTCTATCAAAAATTGTTTATTATACAATTTTACAAATTTTTTAAATGATTCAAATATATCGCCTAATAAAACAATAATAGTTCAACTAATAGCTGCACCTCCTTATATTACAATATCGTAATTATTTTAAATTATTATAAATTATTTGCAAAAAATTTATAAAAATTTAATTTATTAGTAGATTGTATGATCATTCTAATAATACATTTAAAATATGTGGTCCAATGGTTATGTTATTAAATGCTCTAGCTAATCTACATCATATAAAGTAAACATCTAATTTATTACAAAAAAAAATAATATATTAATTTGCATTATTTGATTTATTTTTTTAAATAACAACAATAATAATAATAAATTTATTTATTATTTATTTGATGACTAGTTTATCATTCAAAAACGATCCAAACGATTTATACCAAATGATTGACGATATATATGAATCGGGAACCGATATTTTGTTGGCACCGGTAATTGGCAGTCATTACATGACTTATTCGGAATCATTGGCACCGTTAGGTTTGACATTCAGGCACACGGATTGTATTGACTATTACGAGGCCAACTCAATAGCTGCCAGAATATGGTCGGCAACTATACCGTTGTTTACATATATTCATACGTTTGAACCGCAAGTATGGTTAGCAACTTTAGTGGCAATTATTGTAGTTTCTCTGTTCTCATCAGTTTGGAAACAATCGTTAAAATTAATCACATTTTGTGAATATTTGTGGAACTATTGGACAGTTATGTTCACCCATTCCTTGCAGTCATTTCTATTACGGACAACCAGACAATGGTTTCTAGAGATGTGGCTATTAATGACGTTTTTATTAAACATATTATTTACGGCCACATTGTTGGAGCATATGGTCAGATCGGTACCGATGCAGACAATCGACACATTGGAACAGTTAGCTGAAATGGTTTCCGTTAGTATAGTCACCCGCAGTGACGGACTATTAGGCGAATATGCGAAACATTTGGACAATAGTTTTACTCATAAATTAAATAGTCATTTGTTAAGTTATTTGAAATTTGAAAACGTGTCCGAAATTGTGAGAACCGGACTGAGAGATGGATCGGTAGCTTTGGTGCAAAATAGTCTACAAATGATATCTTATTTGATTGAGTTTACCATCGAAGAAGAGATCTTTTATAAGCCGAACGAACGACTCATTGATTTGATTCACATATCCCGCAAAAGTAGTAGTTTTGAGCCATATTTTTCATTTATCAACGAAAAGACTACAAAAAACTGGTTATTCAATGCATTCAACAAAATGTAGGTCCAGTTTGTCATTAAATTTATTATTATTATTATTGATAATAATTTTTTATATATTAAACTTTAGTATATTATTAGTACGCGAATCGGGTTTATATATGAAATGGACAAATGATGGCATCGATTGTATGAATGATTTATATATTGATAGTTGTATGCGATTAATGGGAAAACAAGATATTAATTATTATCAGCGATATCTTGATTATAATATTATTGGTTTTAAAAATATAGCTGGATTATGTTTGCTTTATACATTTGGTATATGTATATCAATATTTATCATTATAATTGAAATTATTGTACATAAAAAATTAATTTATAATTAATTTACAGAAACAATATCTGTATACAACAAATTAATAATCTATGAAAATATTTAATGAAAATAATAATTAAAAATATTTTGTTTGTTACGCGACATAACAGATATATTTTAAATTTAATAATTATCAATTAGGAATTATCTAATAATTTTATTAAATTATATTGAATATTTGTTTTTTTATTTGTTTTAAGTTAAAATAGTTTGTTAATTAAAAAAATAAAATGTAAATTATAAGATTATTAAATTATTTTATTAATATTGAAAAATTTAATATTGAAAAAATAGAAAAATATCTAATATACAATATAAAATATACAAGAATTTAAATAAATTTTAATAGCAATTTTTTGAGTATTTAAAAATTTTAGTAAATTATTATTATATAATCATATATTTCTATATTCAATAACATGCGAAATAAATGATTTTTCCGGTAAAATAAATGATTATTTTTATTTATTCTGTAAAGTATTCTTTAGTAATTAACTTTAAATATTTTATAAGTTGGTAATTATTTATTTTTTCTTTAATTTAGTTAATTATGTTGTTTTTAGAATATTTTATAAGCGAACAAATAACAATAGTTATATCTAAAAAACAATTTTATTATATTATATAAATCTATTAAGTGTTTACAGTATAAGGTATGTGTATATTATTATTCTCAGATTATTATGTTTGAATACAAGTATTGATTTATCCAGATTTTATTTAATTATATTTAATAACAAAAAATAAATTATAAATAACATAGTTCATATGTTGGAAAATAAATAATATTTATTCTAATTAAAGTATTTGTAAGTATTTTACTATTTTAATTATTAAATAAAATTCTAGTAATTACATAAAATTTAAAAAACAATTTTATATAATTTTTAATTATAAAATAACAGTATAAACTTAATATTAATTTTGAAATATTTTATATAAAAATAATTTTAAATCAATTCAAAGTTTTATTCTTTGAATATCCGATAAATATAAACAATTTTTATTAATTATTTTTGGATTATTAATTATACAATAATTATAGTGCATAGACTACATCTATAAAATATTAAATTGTTTATGTCATGTATAATAATATTCTTTATTAAAAAAAACTATTATCTAATAAAAGTATAAATATAAATATATTTTATATTTTTATACAAATATCTTGTTATATTAAACTAGAAAAACCAATATTTTATAAACAGTTAAATATTTTTATTATTTTATTAAAATAAATTCAATAATATAAATGTTATCAAATCATTGTTTAATTTATGATGAAAATGAATTCATGAAATTTTCCGATAATATCAGTGATTTAAATCATACTTTAATTGTTCAGCCAATATATGTGCCGCCGTTTTCTGATGTTTCGTATGTCTTATATTTGATTTTTTTTAAAAATATCTTATATTTTGATTATATATATTTATAGCAAACTAAAAAATGATTTACAATATATATTATGCGGAACATTGCTTGAATTGGTGCGACTATTTGCACAAAAACATCAAATATTGTAAATAACATTTTAATATAAAATATAATAACAATATAAGTACTTTAATATATTTTTATTTAAAACTAATTTATTTAAGGGTTAAATTTATTGGTAAAACAGAGTCTATCGATGAATTAGTAAGCAATATATTTGCCAAAGATATCAATCTAGTAATGGCACCGTTAGACGCCAGCAAATATCTGGAATATTCAAATCAATTGCAAATGTTTATGAATTTCCAGTTCAAACACACCGATTGTATTGATTTCTACGAAATGGCATCAATGGTAGCGCTCAAGACTACCGGTGCGGTCAAACATTTCACTTATTTTCGTTCGTTTAAACATCACATCTGGGGATTGATATTCATATTATGTTTGTCAATATCGATGATATCTGTACTACAGTTGCGATTGACATTAAAGAAGAAACCATTGAATAATTGCTGGTATTTATGGAAATGTCTATTATATTTGTGGAACTATTTTATTATGTTATTCGCCAAATCTATGCCCAAATTTATTGGCAAATCTCGTTACAAACAAACAACTAGTCTATGGCTTATGGCATCACTAATACTGAGCATAATATTTACATCTTATTTATTAGACTACATGTCATCGGTAGTACACGAAGTGGTAATCGACTCATTAGACGATTTGGTCGATCGGCCGAACATGAAAGTCGTGACCCGGTTTGACAGTTCGTTAGCTAATTATGCAATACATCAGCGAAATAGTAGTCAAATGGCTAATAAAATCTATGATAAAATGCAACAATTTGTCGATTATGAAGAAGTTAGACCACAACTCATCAGTGGTTTAAGGAACGGATCTCTGGCCTATTCTGGGCCGCGATTGGCACTCATTTTTAATGTATTAGAAATGACTTCAATGGAAACTATCGACAAAACAGACAAACCGCTTATCGATATTATGCATATAACCAGAGATAATGGAGGACTGGAACCATATTTCATGTTTATTCATCCAGTGATCGGTCACTGGATCTATGAGCCAATGAATCAATTGTATGAATTATTTTTATTTATATAGTATTAATTATAATAAGTATTAAAAGTTTTAGTTAATAATTTTAGTTAGTATTCAGAATTAAAACTAATTATAAGTTTTTTAAAACTAGAATTTTTATAGTCCGTGAATCTGGTATTTATGGTAAATGGGAATCAGATATATTGAACTATAATCGCAAAATAATACAAAATTTCGATAACATAAACGACAATCGTTACGATATATATGGGTTTCAAGCTTTAGAGTTGACTAATATTTTAGATTTACTATATATTGTAATATTTGGTTTAATGACATCTATTTTAATATTTTTGTCTGAATATATATATTTCCGTAACTTCATTATACGTCCAAAACTTTCAACTATTATATATATATAAATT